TGAAAAAGTTGTCATTTTAAATCCCCCCTTGTGGGCAGGTTAAGGGTTAAATTTATGAAAAAAATATACCAAATGAAAGGTAATGATATTATGCATCTATATATAAAAGAATTATATTGATATGTTCATTTTTGAAAAAGTTATAGCACTTTTAAGTAAAAAAAATTGAAAAAATTTCGAAAATTANGTATTGATATGTTGAAAAAGTTATAGCACTTTTAAGTAAAAAAAATTGAAAAACTTTCGAAAATTAGCGTTTTTTAAATTTGTCATTTTTTTGGAGGTTTCCCCCTTTTACGTGGAACGAGGGAATTTTTTTCAATTTTTAAGGGTAATGTCTTCGACTAGATACGATTTGTGATCTTTTGACGTATCATTGAAAGAAATCGGTTCGGTGAGAGCTGAGAAAAAGTGGTAACAGACACAAAAAAAAAAACACATCTTAGTAAAACCAATACCTTCTCAGCTTCGCATCGAAGCTAAAAAAAACACATCTTAGTAAAACCAATACCTTCTCAGCTTCGCATCGAAGCTAAAAAAAACACATCTTAGTAAAACCAATACCTTCTCAGCTTCGCATCGAAGCTAATATACAAATTCATATCGTAGCGTTTGTTAAGATAGTGACATCTAACATGTCAGATACCATTTACGCATATTCTAACTATGCAATAACCCAATGACTGTACAAAAAAATTTTATTTGCCATGAAATTTGTTATCACTCAAGTTAACAGTTATCTATTTATTTCAATCCGGTAAGATTAGTGGCAGATGTATTGCACTTAATACGATATTAAACGTTTATTTTCAAAAATCATTCCTATTATTTAATATTTAAAATATTTGGTAATTATAAAGAATATAAACAAAATTTTCTTCTACATATTTATATCATGGTTTGTATTATTTTATGTGTAATATTAAAAACACTTCTATTTATAAATATAAATTTAATAAAATAATTTATATTGTAGCTACCGTTATCATTGCTGAAAACTGCTCAAAACCATCCTATGGTAAGTTTTAATATTCTATTGTTTTTTTATTTTCTATAACCTGACTGTTATGTAGTAATTTCAATATGGATTTAATAATAAAATTATAATGAAAGAATATCAGAAGGAAATATAAGGCAGGGCTTAGTGTGTGCCTGTTATTTTTAATAGTTTTATCATTTTTAACCATAATTTTTATCATAAACCTTGGTATTATATTCTGAAGAAAACATTTAATTTTTAGCTTGTAGAGTTGAAAAATGGAGAAACATATAACGGACATTTGGTGACCTGTGATAGTTGGATGAATATTAATCTTCGTGAAGTTATTTGCACTTCTAAAGTAAGTATTGTTTAATTTTAATATTTCAAATGATTTAGTTATTCATTGAATCTTATTTGAAGGGTATAAGGACGAAACATTATAGTAATTTTTTTGCAGTCTGAAAAGTATTCATTTTAAAATGCTAAACATTTTTTTTAAATAAAATAAAATGGGAATATTTAAAGTGTCATTAACAGAATCAACTTTTTTAATAAATTAATATTTGTAGCATTAGAGAATATTATTATTTTCTTCAAAATCACCATTCTATAGTTTTTATCAAGAATTTCTTATTTTATATAATTATTCTTAAAAAAAAAAATTGAATTGTTGAATTTTTAAAGAAAACATTTTGTTTTATTGTATGAAAAATATTATCATTGAAGTATTTTTGTATTAATAAAAAAATGTGTAACTAATTCAAAATTTAATATTGATTACTTGTTTGTGAATGAATAATTATTAAGTGTTAACTTTTCTAGGATGGTGATAGGTTTTGGAGACTCCCTGAGTGTTATATTCGAGGGAGTATGATAAAATATCTTCGAATACCCGATGAAATATTTGACATGGTTAAAGAAGACATAGTTGTTAATAAATCTCGTGGCCGTACTGATAACCAAAAAAATCGAGCACCTAGAGGGGCTAGACAAGGTATGTTTCTATAAAATAAGCGAACATTCTTTCTTATTAAATAGAATCGGAACATTTAAAGAGAAAACAATACTTAGTTTCTTTAAAAAACTACATTATTATTTAATTTTATATATTTTTCAGGATTTGGTGGAAGAGGAGGTGGACGAGGTGGAGGGCAACAAAGAGGCCAAAATAAATTTAGAGGAAAATAAAACTATTTTTATTTTATAAATAATTATGTATTAAGTATGTAAATTTAAGACTATTCTGTTTCAATATCTGTAAAAACTAATTCAGTCTAAAATATAACGAGTTACTAACTATTTAATATATTTTTGTTTAAATTAATCTATAAAACTGTTGAGATAATATCTATAATAAGTCAGATTTACTATGAAAACTTCAATATTATATTATACAGAGCGATTCTTTTAAGGCTAGCAATTCAATTTCTCTTAAAATAATTATGTTAAGAAAATTAGTTTTGATATTTTAAGTTTCACATATTTCTTGATTTATCAGTTATTAATAACTTCTTTAATTCATTTCTTATACATTATAAGGTTGTCAACTTTATTTTTTTAAATAGCAACATATAAATTTAACTAGCTATTAAAGTAAAAAATGATCTCGTTATGAAAATTATTGCAATAACAACTTTTGGACCAGTTTTTTAAAAGTTATTTAAACTTTTATACCTAAGTGGGAGGAAAGGTGAGTGCAAGAAATGTTTAATGATAAATATGTCATACCCATGTCTCACAGCAAATTCAAAAACATTTTTTTTTAAATTAAAAATAACTAAACGGTAGCACAGTGGGGTCGCGGCATAGTGGAGACATTGCATAGTTGGGTTCAGTCTAGATTTAATCTGACAGTGATTAAAATCACTATCATAAGAAACGCTTCGATGCAAATCTGTAGATAGTGTTTAATTTTAAAAAATTGTTGGATAATTGCAAAAGCAACATCAACTTCTATTAAAATAAAATACAAAACCCATAATTTTCATACAAAAATAGCATATTTTTGAATATGGTAGCCATTTGCGTATAGAAGATAGGTCGTCGGGACAAATTTTTTTTTTTCATTTTGTAGTACATAAAATAAGCTTTAATTTTATATATGTTTAAAGGACGCAGTATTTCCGGAACATT